AGTGTGTGTCAGTGTGTGTCAATGTGTGTCTGTGCGTGTGTGTGTATCAGTGTGTGCGTGTGTCAGTGTGTGTGTCAGTGTCTGTCTGTGCGTGTGTGTGTCAGTGTGTATCAGTGTGTGTGTGTGTCAGTGTGTGTCAGTGTGTGTGTCAGTGTCTGTCTGTGCGTGTGTGCGTGTGTGTGTCAGTGTGTGTCAGTGTGTGTGTCAGTGTCTGTCTGGCGCGTGTGTGTGTCAGTGTGTGTGTGTGCGTGTGTCTGTCAGTGCGTGTGTCAGTGTGTGTGTGTCAGTGTGTGTGTCAGTGTGTGTGTCAGTGTGTGTCAGTGTGTGTGTGCGTGTGTCTGTCAGTGCGTGTGTCAGTGTGTGTCAGTGTGTGTGTCAGTGTGTTTCAGTGCGTGTGTGCGTGTGTGTGTCAGTGTGTGTCAGTGTGTGTCAGTGTCTGTCTGTGCGTGTGTGCGTGTGTGTGTCGGTGTGTGTCAGTGTGTGTCAGTATGTGTTAGTGCGTGTGTGTGTGTCAGTGTGTGTCAGTGTGTGTCAGTGCGTGTGTGTGTCAGTGTCTGTCTGTGCGTGTGTGCGTGTGTGTGTCAGTGTGTGTCATTGTGTGTGTGTGTCAGTGTCTGTCTGTGCGTGTGTGCGTGTGTGTGTCAGTGTGTGTCAGTGTGTGTGTCAGTGTGTGTCAGTGCGTGTGTGCGTGTGTGTGTCAGTGGGTGTCAGTGTGTATGTGTGTCAGTGTCTGTCTGTGCGTGTGTGCGTGTGTGTGTCAGTGTGTGTCTGTACGTGTGTGCGTGTGTCAGTGCGTGTGTGTGTCAGTGTCTGTCTATGCGTGTGTGCGTGTGTGTGTCAGTGTGTGTCTGTGCGTGTGTGTCAGTGTCTGTCTGTGCGTGTGTGCGTGCGTGTGTGTGTCAGTGTCTGTCTGTGCTGTGTGCGTGTGTGTGTCAGTGTGTGTCTGTGCGTGTATGTGTCAGTGTGTGTGTTTGCGTGTGTCAGTGTGTGTGTCAGTGTGTGTGTCAGTGTCTGTCAGTGCATGTGTGTGTCAGTGTGTGTCAGTGTGTGTGTCAGTGTCTGTCTGTACGTGTGTGCGTGTGTCAGTGCATGTGTGTGTCAGTGTTGTGTGTGTCAGTGCGTGTGTGTGTCAGTGCGTGTGTGTGTCAGTGTCTGTCTGTGCGTATGTGCGTGTGTGTGTCAGTGTGTGTCTGTGCGTGTGTGCGTGTGTGTGTCCAGTGCGTATGTGTGTCAGTGTGTGTCAGTGCGTGTGTGCGTGTGTGTGTCGGTGTGTGTCAGTGTGTGTCAGTATGTGTTAGTGCGTGTGTATATGTCAGTGTGTGTCAGTGCGTGTGTGTGTCAGTGTCTGTCTGTGCGTGTGTGCGTGTGTGTGTCAGTGTGTGTCTGTGCGTGTGTGTCAGTGTCTGTCTGTGCGTGCGTGCGTGTGTGTGTCAGTGTCTGTCTGTGCGTGTGCGTGTGTGTGTTAGTGTGTGTCAGTGTCTGTCTGTGCGTGTGCGTGTGTGTGTCAGTGTGTGTCAGTGCGTGTGTGCGTGTGTGTGTCAGTGTGTGTGTGTGTCAGTGTGTGTCTGTGTGTGGGGAGAGCGGTGGTGCAGCGGTTATCGCGCTGCGCTATGAACCCGCCGACCCGAGTTCTATTCCCGCTCACCGCGGCCAACACCAGTGACGATTATCTGAACCGGTCTCGGGCCTCCCCTAGGTCGACTCAGCCTCAAATGAGTACCTGGTGCGGTGTGTAAGCATCGCCACTGGAGAGACAAAGGCGGCCGGGCGTGGTGCTGGCCACCCACCCCCTCGTGTACCGTTCCGGCCTTTATAGGTGCTCGCTAACAGCACTTGCCCCTACAGTCTGTTAAGGCTATACGGGGGATCTTTGTCTCCGTCCTGTGGTTTTTAACACA